CTCCCTCACAGGGAAGTAGAAATAAATAAAGAAAAAAACACACACACACACACACACACACACACACACACACACACACACACACACACACATTCTGTACTATATAGACCCTACCTGTTTACATAAGAGGCAGTGCATGATGAAGACCAGTGCTCCCTGCAGGCTGTTCAAGATGGTGAATATGTACTCGACCACTATGCTGCCCTTGCGAAACAGGAAGGCTCCAAATATCCACATCAGTCCCAGAATGCACATCTGAGCAATGGCAGTCACCGTGAAAGCTCTGGAGAGGAAATCAAACAATTGGAAAGGAGCTTGACATGACTCCAAATGCAATTGAATTGCTTGATGATGTCAGATAAGAGAGCATTATTGAATGGATTGGCGGAGGGTTGTCTTTGTGAGATATCAAAATTGGCTTGACGATTCAAAACATTTAAGTGGCATAACAAAATAAAATAACAAAAAAAAAATAGAAGTATGGAAGGGGGCAAACACTTTTTCACTGCACTTTATACATAAGCGGAAAAATAAGACAAAGGGAAGCACACAAAAAAATAAGCTACGCTCACGAACTTTAATTTGTTGAGCTTGGACAGGTCAGGGTTGAGGCTGCTGAACTTCTGGCCCAGCTTCCAGACGGTGACAATGAAGAAGAAGACGTTGAGGAAGATGATGACGCACACGGGGCCGTAGAAGCTCCAGATGAGGCCGTCTTTGACGGACAGCCAACAGCTGCAGTGCAGAGATGAAAATCGCAGTCTTAACTAAAAGCAGACCTCCACTGCGTCCTTAATGTTTGATCCTTTTCTAAACACACTTACTGCTCCTCAGTTCCGTATCCTTTGGGTCTGATGATGGCAGATATAGTGACAATGGCCAAGGGTGCCCCATAGCCAAAAAGGAATAAGTAGAGGGGCCGAATGGTGGCATTGAAAACAAGGACCACCATACGATACAGCTGCACCCCCTCAAGCAGCATCCATGCAAACACTCCCAGGAAGAAAAGATGGAGCATGGCAGCAATAAACCTGCAGCCGCCCTGTAATGCAATATAAACAAATGAAGGGCGGAAGTTGCATGGAGAGGAGCGTAATGAAATGACTCCTGCTGTGTTTATACGAGCTGTGCTCAACTTATAAAGACACGCCTTTGAATTAGACTTTTTGGTTTCTCGTTTGAAACAATAGCCCCAAGACTACATCAGCACAAGACCGAGAGCTTTGAGAATAGAAGCGGTAATAGGGAGTAACCGGAAGGTACCTAGTGTTATTTGTGTTCTTAAAAGGTTTCACATAGAGACAGTCATGAGCATATTATTGTGAAGAACATTTTCGCCTTGAGCTCTCCTTTACAAACAGTAAAAATATCATTTACAACATCACACTTACTAGAAGGAACCTGGATCGTATATTTGTGGCGAAATGTGTTTTGGGGGGATTTTTTTTTTTTTTTTTAAAGAACGGTTTGTTTTTAAGCATTCATTTAAGTACTATTTATTTACATTCAACATTTGTGTGCAGTACATTTTATTGAATTGTTACTGAAGTGTTGTTATATTTTCCTATTTTTGAGCACCGTGTTAATGTTCGAACCCGACACAAGACTACAGTAACTTAACCTACAATATTAAATAGAGGTTTACTTTTTTGGAAACAAAGCTTCTGCCGTGCTTCTTATGAACATGTAGAGCAGACATCTTATTTTATTGTATTTTCTTTCTTATGATGATTATACTTGGCGAGCTGCGTCCTTTGTCCAGTGATGCTTTGGCGGTAAATTTCGGGAATGGACAGTCAATCTTCAAGAATACATTTCCTGTCTTTCATCAATTTTCCTTTTTGAACGCCACTGTTAAGTACCTCAGATTTATCCATTAAGTTTATGCTTCAAGCCAGCGGAGAGCTCCTTTAAGCGTCATAAGCGAGGATGACTCGAGAGCATGCAATGTTAATAGCTGAGTTTCGCTCTGCAGTCTGTAAACCATGAGAGCAGCCGCTCCACAAATTCATCAAGCCAAGGACCTCCATCAGATTATTGCCATCCATGGAAACATTGTCAGTGTCCGCTTGGGCAAACATACCTCAGATTTTGTTTGGAAAATGCCGGCCAGGAAGATGAGGTCAGCGATGAAGAGGCAAATACAAAGATGCAGGTGGATGGTTGTACGCGTCCCATGAATGGAACGGCAGAACTTGAACGTCAGGATGCAAAGACTCAGACACAGCAGGGAGAGGATCAGTCCGATCTTTGTGATCAACTGGATCGCAAAGGATTGCTGTGGGGGGTTGGGGGGGGGGGGGGGGGGAGGGAAATCCGACAGTCTGAAACCATTTCACATCATTATACATCTGTGTTTTGTTCAATGGTTTTAGTCCCCTTGAGAAACGTAACTTCATGCTCTCAAAAGAAATGCATTGCTGCATGATTCTTAATTTCCTTTACATTTATATTCACTTTAGTTTCTAAATTAACATTCAAATTGTAACAGCGAGGTCACGGCTTAACCTTATCCTCATAATTGATTTGTTACAGTTGAATTAACTTCAGGTGTAAAAAAAAAAAAGAAAAAAAAAGTGCTTTCGCAAATATAGGGCACCATGAGATGTGATATAAAGTGCAGATACGACTGTCCAAATGCCTGCTTTGAAAACAACAGGGCTAGTGATGTATTTATAGTCCAATGAAAAACTCCAGCACGATGGCCTTATTTCCTGAAACATTGCAGTTTTTAAAGTATGTATGTACAGCTCAGGTGTGTTACTTGTTTCTTACATCTACGGGATAGTGAGCCATCAGCACGGCGAAACTGCTGAGATGTGCACATCCACACACTGTGTGTGTGGCGTTGGATGTCTGTTGATGGCAACCATCTGTGGCCCAGGCACCTCTGTCGTTCCAGTAAGCACAGATGTACCTTGCTTCCGATTTGTTCTAAACCACACGAGCAAAACCATAAGATCGCTCACTTTACCACATTGGCACAACTCGTGATTGCGTTGACTAAAGCGTGGCGAGTGAGGACTAGCATTTTCCAATTCCTGTCAAACTTTCAGAGAGTTCTGTTTGCTGTTCAAGTACTGGTTTTAAGAGGACAAACCTGGAGATGTTTGAGTGTGAGGATGACCGGGTGGCTCAGGTTCTGAGTGGATGGGTTAGACACTACAACAGACACAACCCGAGAGAAGATTTCGAACGTCGGTTCAAGGCCATCTTTTTCAAATCCTTGGAGCTTGTCAAAGGAGTGGTTAACAGATCTCTCCAGGTTATGGTAACTCAACAAGGCAGCCATAGCAAAGCCTAGGAGAAGACACGATCAAGTAAGATATGTTTGATTGTTTACTTATTGAATACGTCCATTATTTCCACAAAGCACAGAACACAAAGAAGGCAAGGGATATAGTGTATTATTTGGAATATTATTATAGCATTTTGAATTGGTTGGCAACCAGTTCAGGGTGTCCCCCGTCTACTGCCCGAAGAGAGCTGGGGTAGGCTCCAGCACGCCCCGCAACCCTTGTGAGGATAAGCAGATCAGAAAATGGATGAATGGAGGCATTTTGGAAATTGAAGGATAACATTACCAGGACTTTATTAATACCATCCATCCATCACTGTCTGTAGCATTTGTCCTCATTGGGACCAACTGGGAGCTGAAGCCGATCCAAGATGGGTGAGTGGCGCGCTGCACCCTGGACTTGGATTGGACCTCAGTCAATGCTCATTAAAGTATATGGTATTAAGTGAATTGCAATTAGCTCTGTAGAGTGATGGCACATGAGCCAAATAAGACACATTTGCATTTTAGTGAGAATCCAGATAAAGAATGTATGATTTGAGTCATTGTGTCGCCAATGGAAATAATGTGCGCCACAAAATTTGTTTATTTGTGTCTAGCAATTTGGGTGGCATAGATATGTTGTGGGGATTATTTGTTTTTGCAGGAAAGGGTAAGGTAAGAAGTAATTCACCAGGATATGCTTCCGTTCCAGTTGCTGTTGCCCAGTCGGTGTCAAGTGCAGAGTTCTCAGTCCTCAGATGAATCGGTCCAGTGGGTGGAGACCTTCCCTTCCGGACTGCAATCTCCACAGCTACTCAAACAAACAGTTCTCCTAAAGCGGACAGGCCTCCTGTTGCAGGGCACTGTCAAACTGAGTCTTACCTGTCTCATTGGAGCTCATTGAGGTGCGGTTACCTCTGAGCTGAGGGCCAATGAGCCTTATGGAGTTTTCCATAGTGCTGAGCAGCCCAAACAGGTCTTCACCTGTGTTCACATCGACTGATGATAAGATGGTCTCCGATGCTGTCAAAAGTATCTGTGGGTGTTGTAGCAAAAAGGATGAGGCACTGTGTGCCGCGATGGGTCTACATGTGCTTTATGTTTGCTTTGCTGACCTCCAGTAGCGCATCTCCATCAGCCTTGTTTCCATGGCTCGTATTTGGGTTAGACAGAGCCATGCAGCTGTTTCTCATTGTGGACAGCAGATCTGCCAAGCCAACGTAATGCTGAGAAAGGACACGATAATAACACTATTCAGCTTTCAAAATGCCCACTTTAATGTATACATAAAATAACACCAGGGTTCCAGTGTGTGAAGAAAGAAACGCCCCTTCCTTAAATATTCCATTTAACTGATCTCTGCTTTTAACCTGCTTAGAAAAATAAGAGGAAGATATTTGATATGTACAGACGGGCATCATCAATCAATACTTTTCCGATGACCAACAATAGCAGCGGGCATTCATTGTTTTCCTTTCTTTCCGACAGTGATGGCGCAGCACATAGCAAAATTGAACGGAACTGCAATAAAAAGAGCCAATGTTTTACCTGTGAAGCTACACTACTGGCATCAAAGGTTTCGCAATCCACTTCTAGAGGGAAAAGGTCAAATGTGTCAGTGCAAGTGTGTCGATAAAAAACATAATAAATGAAACTGATGCAAACACTCACTGGAGCATGGAGTCCTTTCATTGGCATAATTGGTGTATCCTTTCGCGCACTTGCACGAGTAACTTCCATCTAAATTTTTACAACTTCCTTTGCTTCCACAAATGTCTTCCTTTCGGTTCTCAGCTTGCTCACATTCGTCAATGTCTTAAGGGAACAGAAACAGACATAGAGTTACCCAACCCCAATATTAGGTCCACCTGCACAATCAGTAGTGGTTCAGGTTATGATAGGTTAGGGTTACTTCAAAAATGTACAAAAGTAGATTTTTACTTGAGCGCAATATTTTCTCACTTTTCGCTGGCGATACGTTCTAAGCCCTCTGCAGTCAGCGTCAAGACTGTGCAGTCATTAAACTATTTGCTGTTACACAAAAGGTCAACCCTTATAACGACATGACAATTACCTAGGCAGTCTCTCGTTGAGCTGGTGTTGGCGTAACCAAATTGGCAGATACAGCGAAAGCTTCCAATCAGGTTGATACAATCAGCCATGCGACCACAGACCTCGACGTCAGAGTTACACTCGTTTTCGTCTAAGGGAGGAACACAAATAACACGTGAGCGAGGTGAGACAGAGAAACACACCATGAATCGGCCCCAGAGGGTTCGCTCACCTTTACACTGTCCGTCAAACGCAGTGAAGTTGATGTTTCCGTTAATGTCCAAGAAGCCAGACTGACACTGACAGTAGTAGCTGCCTATTGTGTTGAAGCACTGTGCGTGGCTACCACATAGTCCTGGGGTTTCGTCACACTCATTCACATCTGGACATTGAGAGTAGAGTTAATTATACACCGTGTGGCATTGGCAGCACTGTACTGCAAAAAAGACGCCTCTGGCGTTCATCTTTAAGGACCTTTAAAAACACTGGTCAACAGGAAATGTTAATGAGATGGCTTAATGTGTGTGTGTGTGTGTGTGTGTGTGTGTGTGTGTGTGTGTGTGTGTGTGTGTGTGTGTGTGTGTGTGTGTGTGTGTGTGTGTTTAAGTTTGACCAATAAAAGCTTGTGTTTTACTGTGCATTGTAATTTATAGCTATGACATTTCAGAAAAAAAGTCCCATCTGTTGCTGAACCTAAACCTTAATTCATAAATATTACTAAATGTATTACTAGATTACCTCGTATCGTGTGTTATTTTCATTCTTATGAAAACCTGATGTGATAGAGAAAAACAGGGCAGATTTAGAATTAGTGTAAAAGAAAATTATTTTTTTTGGTTCACTTGCATCTCTGATTTAAAAAGTGAAAAATTGTTGACCTGTGTAAACATCTTTACATTCAGAACTGTTAACTTCTATTTACACTTGTATGAGTTAATGTGAAAGTTAAAAAGTCACTGCAAAGATTTTTCCCAAAGCACGGGTGTCAAACTCAAGGCCTGGGGGCCAGATCTGGCCCACCATATCATTTTGCGTGGCCCACGAAAGCAAATCAAGCATGTCAACTTTTCCATGACGCTTGCTCAAGTCTGAACCAAAATCTCAAATTATCATATGTAATCCATCATAACATAGAGATATTTCAATCTTGTGACATACTTATTACATTAATGTAAACAATGGCTGAACAAACCATTAACTTGACTTCTGATTTCAAAACTAGTTATCCACCAATTTGTTGTGCACTGAAAATGTATTATGTGGAGGTGATTAAACATTGATTCGGTTTTACAAAATTCACTGTCATAATGGCCCTCTCAGGGAAACTGTAACTACAATGTGGCCCATGACAAAAATGAGTTTGACACCCCTGTCCCAAAGTGAATGAATGTTTTAAGATGTCAACTACTATATTTGTAATCTGTGTTGCTGCTCCTCTTATCCTACAAGACAACATCATTGATCTTTTCCACACTACTCTGAACAGTCATAAGATATTAGCAACTTTAGACAAGTGGATATTTACAAACATTCTAATAAGCAGAGTCAGGTTAATTACCAACACATCTGGTTCCTTCCTTGTTCATGCCATTGTCACACAGAGGCATGCATGTCTTCAGTGTGCACATAAAACCTGCAGGGGAAGAGTCAGAATGGTTAGTTTCTAAGTAGAAAACATCTTATTTTGTATCGCATATCATGTGTCCTCGTTTGGGTCACGGGTGAGCTGGAGACAATCCCAGCTGCCTTTAGGCGAGAGGTGTGTGCCCAGAAAATTAAAAAAAAAAAAAAAAACATACAATTACAGGGAGAACCTGAACACTCCACACAGGAGGGCATGAATTGAGATTCAAACCCAGAACCTTTGACTGTGAGGCAGACATGCAAACCAGTATACTCCAGGCTGCCCAGTGGAAAACAAAAAAAGGGGTAAGAATTCATGTTCACTTCAAGGTATACATTAGTGTCTGAACAGCAAAGCACTTCTGCTGCTTTTCCTTCCTTCTTTCTGTGTCAAATTGACCCTGTGGTGTGTCGTTTGCTTATTTACTCGTTGTTATGGTGATTACTGCTTCCATGTGTGAGAGAAGAGCTTTTAGTTGTGCTACAGATAACTCCCCACGCAATGTAGTACCTCATGTTACCGTAATTTAGTTTTGTTCAGGTTCATTGCATATGTGCTAATGTTGTAGGGTGAAGCGAGATCCAATACAAGTAGGCATAGAAAGGTAAACTCTATTGAAACGTCAATAGAGTCAATTGATACTGTCAAGTACCCATTAAGGAAAACTTAATCTAACCCCCCTGTGAATTCGAATGAAATTCCTGTCGATTTCAACTTTTTTATTCCGATTGAGGTGTTTTTATGTAGTATTTTCATTCTGTTTAGTCATTCGGATACATTCTAATCAGAGTACATAGCTCCATCTAAAACCGGCTCCTGTTTAAAGCACAAAAGATTGCAACAATTGCTCCGGCCCAATCGCACCAATACTGACACAAGAGATTGTCAAACCCAAATGTGTGACTTTGAGGTTGTGGGATTTTTTTTTTTTTTTTTTTAACAATGAGTGGAAGTGGAGACATGTCTTTCATTGTCATGCACGTGATTGCCAGTTATCCTGTGTCTTCACCAATTAGTGGGCCTTTCTTGTGAAATTACTTGCATACAATGTGTAATGTCCTGTTCCTCTCAGACACCCAACGCAGTTGTGTTAAAGTTAGTTTCACCCTTGCTTTCACAATGACATCTCCAATACGTTCACAAACAAACCCGACTGTATTTTAAAAGGAGGAGAAACCTACTGATGTAATGGTTAAATTGAGAATTCTAATTATGGTGCATGTTTTGTGTTACTTATTATGCTTGCACCCATGACAACCTCCCCCACCCCTCACACACTCGATTCGCCACACAACAGACATGTAACATAGAACATGTTTGTTGCACACACAACTCCGTCTCCTGCGTCGCCCGCCCCTCATCCACAATGAGCCCCCTGTTTGAGGCAGGGCTGGAGCTCTCAGTGCCCCAGTGAAGATAAAACCAGACTGAATTTAAAAGTACGTGTGCCAAACAGCGTGACTGCCCCCAAGTCTATGACTAAAGAACACAAGGACTGAAAACAAATAAAGTGTGACTTTGTGTCATGTCTGCGGCTGAAGTAATCACAACAGTGTACGGATTAAAATGGACTAGATAGTCCTCATTTTTCTTTTTCTATTGGATTTCAGTTCTGTTTCTCTTACAACCGCATGTAGTGCCAACACTTCACGACCTGTCACCTATTACTAAAGGCATATGACTGTATGACTCGTAGTTCTAATCTGACTACTTTCACTTTGATCAAGGCTGAAGTAGTGCTCCTCAAATTGTCACCTAGGTGTGATTGTGAGTGTAATGGTTGTTCGTCGTTCGCCTTGGCTGGCAACCGGTTCAGGGTGTCCCCCCGCCTACTGCAAGAAGACAGCTGGGATAGGCTCCAGCACACCCTGCGACCCTTGTGAGGACAAACGGATTAGAACATGAATGGATGAATTCAAACATGAGCAAACTTCTGTGTGTAGAGACGTTTTAGGCCTTGTCTGATCCATGTGAAAGTACGTGTGTCCAGACAAGACAGCACGGACAGATACACTTCCACTTTTTAATGACAACTTCTTCCAATGAAAGATAAGTGCAAAAGTGAATCACCATTAATTGCCTTATATTACATTTCTATTGTCACATCGTATTTTGCTCATAAAATAGCTGTGCCATGAGTGTTTTGTCATGCCAATTTACAAACAGTAATATAAAGTACTTTAATTATAACAAGATTTGTTCATAAAAGAAGAAGAAAACATTTATTATTTGCAAGTGGTGAAATCCAGTTTATATTACTGTATCATACTTTTTTATAATAATAATAATACATTTTATTTGAAAGCGCTTTTCATCACACTCAAAGACACTTTACAAGAGTTTAAAACACAGGATAAAAATGTACACTTAAAGCCAAGCATACAGGATTTACAAAAAACACATTTAGATGAACAAAGCAAAAATGGGTAAAAGAGGTGTTAAAAGGTGTTAAAAGCATTGCGGAACAGGTGAGTTTTAAGAGGTGATTTGAAGGATCGGAGGTCAGTACAGTTGCAGATGTGTTGTGGTAGAGCGTTCCAGAGGGTGGGGGCGGCGACCTGGGTCCCCCAGGTTTTTGACACGGTTTTGTGGAAAAAGGCCAATAGTAATTTTTTAAAAAGTAAAATAAAAGTCACATTTTGTCAAATGTCAATGCTCTTTCTCCACACAGGCCTTCACTGTACCGGTATATATGCGTGCACATGACATGGACATGCAGTGAGTGAGTGACAGAACAGAGAGGCTATTTTTACATGTTATTGAAAAAAAAGGATCCAAACCCTCTAGTCCCAAACCACTTGGAAATTATGGCTATTATTGTGCTCTTGTGGCGGAACTGTATCTTGTGCAATCAGCATACAGCACATGAGTGTGACTGAATGGAGGCCAGACTGTTTTGTTCCTCTGTGTGGACCTTGTTGAGAACGTTTCATACTCATGAGAATTACAGTACATAAAACATAATACTGTATATTAATCCAATTTTTAAAAACTGATGACATGACAAAATATAATGTAACATATTTTATCTTTGCAACCATACAGAAGAAAAGCTATTCTATTAGAATCGGTTTTAAGATTCTGCTACTGGTTTATAGATCACTGAATGGTTTGGTTCCTGAATACGTTAATGGATGGCCAATTGAATATAAACCCGGTAATGCCATGCGCTCGACACACTCAGGTCAATTCGTGGAACCCTTGTTTCAAAGCAAACATGGTGAAGTGACATTTAGCTATTAAGCTAAATGGTATAAGTTGTCATCGGAAGTGAAGTCAGCACCAAGTATAAATGCCTTTGAATCCAGATTTAAAGCTATCATTTTTTTCCAATTTCTTTGATTAAATTCCTTGAAGCATTTTTAAACATCAAATTCACTCGACAGTCTTTTAGTCATTTCAGAAAGCTACTTTTCGTTTTGTTCCTTTTTAAATGTCATAAATCGTGTATGAAATAAAAAGTGTGAAAATAAAGTCGCCTTGCCTTGTCTTGCGTATTCCTTTAGCAAGATGAGTTTTTATTGAGATTGTCAGAGGGGCATTCCCACAACAGCGTGTTTAGTGTGGTTTTGGTTTCTGCAGGTTCAAAACTCTCCTGCATCATACTGAGAGAAGTTTCTATACTTGAGTTACATATTTGTTGAAACATCTTAGTCTGATGTAGTAGTGCCTTGACCAAACCAGAAATATAAGGCCATTAGTATCTTTGTCACAATTGTTTTTGATAAATATATCAGCATGTACTGAATGTCTTCTCGCCTCAGTCTTACAAACTCTGACCAGTGTGACACTTTGTCATCGCAGTGAGCGCATTAACACATGATTGTCTTGAACCATGAACCATTGATTAGATTAAATGGAATTAATCGTTCAGAAAGCAAATGCTGGTAAAGACATCATAGCATTTAATAAGTACATTGTGGGGGTTTTTCTTCATTTCTTGTTTCATTTGTTCACATTGTCAGACAGTCACACACAGAACAATTATCAATGACTTACCAAGAAAAAGCAGAAGCTTTTTTCTTCTGTCCATATCCAAACAATAAAGCAGCAAACTTTGTGAAGTCCTCGCAGAAAGTTCACCAGAATTTAGAATTCTCAGACTCCACAAAAGAGGCCACACAAAAGAGAAATTCCGGAGACTAGTGTGTGTGAGTGAGTCTGTCTGTGAGAACCACCACCAGTTTTTTCCCTCTCAATCTGAGCACGCCTCCTTCGGGTCTCCCCCACCCCTCCTTCTCTCCCTCCTCACTCCTTTCACACACACACACACACACACACACACACACACACACACACACACACACACACACACACACACACACACACTCCTTCCCTCGTCACTCTTTCCCTTTCTCTCCACCTTTTCCACACCAGAGCGCTTTTCACACTGGCCTCGTATCACGTTGCCTGCAGAGACCGCCTCTGTGTCTTCCCTTGCCTACACATAGGCTGTGTGCTCTATTTCAGGACCGACTACCCTCTCCCTCATGGGACGCATGCAGAGGAGGCGGCTAGCTGAGTCTGAAGAGGATGATGACTCACGTCATTCTAAACAGCTGCTTCTTGACTTCCCACTAAGCAATCTCTTTCTCCATTCCCAAACGTCCCATCCTCCATCTCCACCTCCTTGTCCCTAAACAACATTGGAGTTTTCATCCACTGCCAATGGAGATCCCGTGTGTTTTCCCAGCCCACCCCCCGCCCCCCCACACACACACACACAAGCAGGAAGCCAAAAAATGCAAACAGAATGACCTCCATTTCAGTCAAACTCCTTGAAAAGTCCACAAAAAAAGTGGTGGTTCTGCTTAAATAGGGTGGCAGCTCTTCTGGGAGGCCACTTTAAACATGTATGATGCAGTTGCTGGTCAAGAGAAGGTGTTCGGGCGTTGCCCCACCACGCATTTGTGCTCATCATATTACTTCCCTATTAGTCAAACATTCAACTGTTTTTGAATGTATGTTTCTCTTTTTCCAAGTGAACAGGTTTAATATGAGTTAAACTCTTGTGTTCATTACCCAATGACACTCAGTGTCATTACGCACACCACTTCCACATTCCATGTAGGCATGTCAAGTTGTGGTTTCGTCACGCTCATCGACGATGTTCACTCTCTGTCTGCTAATGTTGCTCTTTATTTATTTAAATTCCAATATCCCTGCAATTTGGAAGGTGGGTTGCTCACATTGGTTGCTGTCATACTCTGTTATGCTCACTTAATATAGACAAGTGATTGTGTGTGTGTGTGTGTGTGTGTGTGTGTGTGTGTGTGTGTGTGTGTGTGTGTGTGTG